TGTAATTATGTACAAGTTAATGAATATAACTTCCTCCTTCTCTGAATTCCCGCTACCCTGGCACACCCATGTGACCCATGGAAAAGTGTTGGAGTTTGTGGAGTCTGATTGCTCCAGATTTGTTTGTCTGCACTAGCTGGGTCCTGGACTTGCTGGTGGCTTTAACATGGTGGCTATTCCTCTGTGGGTGGTGTGTTTTCCTGTGCTGTTGGCCCACAAGACTCTAGCTCATTCTACCCCTTGTGGGACACACCCCCCTCTTCCACACTCACATAATTCAAAGCCTAACATAATTTAACCGTCATGCAGACAACTACAAACACTCACACACACTCCAGCAGACGGCAACTCAAGTCACCTTAAACCACGATGTATGGAAATGACATTCCAGGGCCACTCGGCAGTGCAGCTCGTTGACTTCAGAATCCAGTCTTCTTGGGATGTTTATTTCTTTTTCAGTTCTGTTATGATTCTGTCGAGCCATTTGCAGCCTGTGGACTAGATGGTGATTTTACCTCTGTCTACACATCCTGATATGCAAAAATGGATTTGGAGAGGACAATTGTGATGACAGCACCCACTTAGAAAAAGGGAAAGGCAGTCACAGCTACTGTCTACTGAGTAGTTATTATGGCCAGTTTTTATGCGAAGCAATTTACGTGCCTTATTTTCTGCTGATCCTCAGTCACCATATGGGGCAAGGACTATCGTTATTATTATGATTAGAGATGAGAAGATTAAGACTCAGAGAGCTTCCGGTAGATTCCCTGGCTGGAAAATAGCCAAGGATTTAGAACCTGGGGGGGCCAACTCTAGGGCCTGGCTTTAACCACCTTCCAGCTTGCTATCAAGGAGCTCCGTCCTGTTACTACTAATAATCCTGACGGTGAGGATAGCAGACATAAACGTGGCGTTTACTGCGGGCCAATTAGCGTTTATTCTAGATATAATAACTCATGAGTCCAGACCATAATCCTGTGATGCCAATAGGACCCTGACTTATAAAGGAAGAAAGCAAGGCACAGAAAAGTTGCATGGTTTGCCCTGAATGTTATAATGGATGCATGTTCACTGCCATGGACCATCTGTCACTACTGACATTGGGTCCTAGTGTCGGTCCCATCCCATGTGGGGCAAGCTAGGCCCTATCATTGCTATGATAAGATCGGCTTTTTGTGGACATACAAAGGTGACCCCCAAAACCCTGGAATTTAGTTACAAAAAATTGTGTGTTTATTCTTACTTATTTAAACTTCAGTCGCCTTCAAGGGACTCTCTGTCTGATGCAATGCACCTGTGGAGATGTTTTTTCCACTGCTCAGTTTTTAACTTGTCAATTTTGATGCCTTTTAGTGCTTTCACCATTTTTGGTTTCACCTCTTCCAAATCGGCAAAATGTTTTCCTTTGAGGACTGTTTTCATCTGGGGAAACAAACAAAAAAAAAGTCACTTGGAGTGGGATCAGATGAATAGGGACGGTGGGGTATGGGGGTCTTGCTGTTTTTGGTCAAAAACCACTGAACACTCAGCACGGTGTGGGCAGGTGCACTCGTAAATCACCCGTTATGAAATGGGCAAGCATGTTGAAAGAATCCTATAAAAAAAATTCACTGTAACCAAATGTAGCCTCTCACGACAGTGTATCAGTACACTGATGCGGATGGATTGCTAGAACACTGACCTGACAGGAGAAGCCTGTACTGCAATGGGCCTGCCCTCCAAAAGATAATTCCATTTTGGGGGTCCCCCTTGTAGACAAAGAATAGAACAGAGAGTCTTTGGGTGTGAGTTGAGTTACTTGGATTGCATTTGTGACCAACCGAAGTTCTGATCTGGGAAGGTTGTTGTTCCTGGCCATGAATTTCTGGACGGTGTTGTGTTTGGAACATTCAGGACCATGAATTACCTCTCTGAGGCTGAACCTCCAGTACCTAGCATAGTGCCTGGTATACGGATGGAGCTTGAGAAATATCTGTGGAGTGAACAAATGCAGGTCTCGGAGAACCATGTTGGCCATGTTTTCTGTCCTTAGCAGCAGCTCTTTCCCGAGTCGATCCCCTCATGCTCCCTTAACCATCGTCTTTTTCTTAATGTCTGGTGTGTTGGTCCTTCCTTCCCGAGTCCTGGGTTCTATGCATCCTTCGCTCCTCCAGCCCTTCCCAGATCTCTCCATTCACTGCCAATCTGGGAGTTACCTTTGACCCTGGAAACCCAACATGGTTGGAACTTCGAAGGTGTCGTTTAGTAATGTGGACAGTCCTGCCTTTCCACCATGAGAAGGATGGGCTTTATGCTATAAGCAGTGGTTCTTGAAGTGGGGTCTCTGGACCATCTGTGTCAATATCACCTGGGAATTTGGCTGGAAATGCAAAGTCTTGGGCCCCATATCAGATGTATGAAATCAGAAATCTGGAGGTTGTTTGGGGTGTGGAGGGCTAGCAGCCATGTCTTCCAGGCCCTCGGCGCGATTCTAAGTAGTGCTCAGGCTTGAGAACCACTGTTGTAAGAGGACATCATTTTCTTTGTATTCCATTGGAGTCCCCTGGGCTAGGAGCCTGTCCCAGTTTTTCCCTGTTGCATTTTACTTAGGGTCACATGAAGTAACCACCTCATTCTATGACTCTTTTATTCCTCATTTTCGCTGAGTCCATTAGAGGCTATACCTAGAAAGCCTTGCCACACTTGGGCTTGTAGTTTTAATCACCTGTAAGTCATAGTTTAATTAGCTCCTTAACTCTTGCATGTGACTGTTTATTTGTATTTCATTCTGGGATATGGGGGATGTCTAGAGGCTTCTACCCTGCCATACATCAGAGCCAATTCCACACCCCTGACATGATTCTCTCAAGGGCCCACTAGTTGTTGTTCTTTAGAGACAAAGTTTTGCTTTGTTGTCCAGGCTGGGGTGCAGTAGTGTGATTATAGCTCACTGCAGCCTCAAACTCCTGAACTCGAGAGATCTTTCCTCCTCTGCTTCTTGAGTAGCTGGGGCTATAGGCATGCAGCACCATGCCTGGCAATTTTTGTTTGTTTTTTTATGGAGACAGAGTCTTCCTGTGTTGCTCAGGCTGGTTTTGAACTCCCAGCCTCAAGCAATTCTCACACCTCAGCCTCCTAAAGTGCTGGTATTATACTTGCACCACCATGCCTGGTTAATTTTTTTTTTTTGTAGAGACAGGGTCTTCCTGTGTTGCCCAGGCTGGTTTTGAACTCCTGGCCTCAAGCAATCCTCACACCTCAGCCTCCCAAAGTGCTGGGATTATAGGTGTGAGCCACTGTGCCTGGTTTTGAGGGTCTCTTCTTTACCATGTCAGTCCTGATACCACTTTCCTTCTTAGTCAGGTACAGTTGGTCGCCTGGAACAAGGGTCTGCTTGAGTAAGTTCAGGTAAGAAGATGAGAGATTTTGTGACCAGGAACCCATGGCATTCCATGGTCATCTAGGAGCAGGAGTTGTACCATGTAATGATCACATGCACAGTCTCTGGAGTCAGGTCAGCTGGGACCAGCCGTTGTTTACAGGTGTGTGGCCTTGGGCAAGGTATCCAACCTTCTGTGCCTCAGTGTCTTCATCTCCGAATGGGGTTCCTGGCAGTGTCATAGGATTGCTGTCTGGACTGGTGAGTTAGTGTGTGTGGAGTGAACACGACATGACCCCCGGCAAGCACTACGGATGTGCTTCCTGTTGTCACCATCAAGGTTGGGAACAGAGGCAGATGGGCTCCAATGGGGAGTGGGCAGTGGCTCTGCCTTCAAGGCTGCTTGAAGGAGTCGGCATCTGGAAGGGAAGGACTTGCTCTGAGCTGACTCTGTGGCCCCGACACGGCTGCCTCACTCCGTCCTGCCACCTGGGACCCTCTGCATCCTCATGTATCTCCCGTTCCTCCTGAGTGGGCCCGGCCTACCTGGACCTCCTCTCACTCTCTTAACCGCCTTCACCCTTCTGCTTTGGCTACTTGCTGGCAACCACTTCTAGGTTATTTAGTCCATGTTACCAAGAGGGAGGCAGAAGTGGGCCCAACTAACCCTTCACCTGGATTGGGAGCTCTGGTTTGGAGGAGCGATGCATAGCACTTGGGCAGGCCCTGAGCCCTGGCCTGAGTAGATGAAAGGACCTGACATGTGGTGGCCTGGCAGGCACGGGGGCAGATTCCAAGGACAGCGCGGTGGGAAATTCTCATCTGACAAGCATCTCGTCTACGGTGGTGTCATCTCTGCCTCCCTGCTGTTCCTTTGTGGCCATTCCTCTCCCCGAACGTGCACTGGCACGTAGACAGTGAAGAAGCCCCAGTGAGGACTTGGGGACAGCCTGCAGGCCTGGTGGCTCTGAGCTGCTCACTGAATGGGCTGTGGTTGCAGTTGGTGTTTTTTGTGTGTTTGTTTTCTATGGACTTTGTGCATCGTTGTTCTTAGTTTTAATTTTCCATCTTGATGACATGCTCATTTTTACACAGTCACGCAAAAAAATAGTGCTGTGACCTGCGTTCCACCGTTTCAGTTGGTGACTTTCATCTTGTCTGACTGTCTAGTTGATAGCTGCGCACAGTGTTTTCCTGGAGAAGTTACTGGGGGCCTGGCCCTGCTTCCGTCCCATTGCTCTAACCAAGGCTGCTCTGTGGAGTCAGCACACCTGCCCCTCACAGGGTCTGATTACCGGGTCTCTGCCACGGTGGCTCAGCCCCACCGTTGATACATAGATGGACAGCAGGGCTGTGTTCATTATGGCGCCATGGACACTGAAATCTCATTTCCCTATAATTTTCACTTGTCACGAATTCTTCTTTTTTTTGATTCTTTTCAACCATTTAAAAATGTGAAAGCTATTCTTAGCGCATGAACCGTTCACAAAACAGGCGGCAGGCCAGACTTGGCCCACAGGTGGTGGCATGTTGACTCTGGCTATTATGAAGGCGTGAAGATAACACGCATCTTTCCCCACGACCCAGCACTTGTGGCGAGGGAGACGGAAGCAGGCACAGCCCGGAGTCTGAGGAGAGCCCGGGGGACCCTGGGAGGCTTCTGGAGGTCACGCCTGAGCTGTGTCTTGAAGCTGAACACGGAAGGCAGGGAAGGTTCTGGAGCGAGGACTTAGCCTGTATTCACACTGGCAGTAGCATCTGCTCAGGTACCAGTGGCTGCTGCCCCTGGACAGGGATGTCCAGCCCCAAGAGGAGCCCAGATGGTGAGGCCTTTGTGAGACAGACGAGGGCTGGGACTCTGTCCTCATAGCCCATCCTCTGCAGACCTTCCCAGCCTTGCCTTTAAAATAAGTGCCCCCCCCAGAAGTCCCCTATGAGAACAAGACAAGAAAGTCATCTCAGGCTGGTGCTCCAGGTGAGACCACTGCCGAGTGCTGGGGTCACAGGGGTAGGCAAGGGTGGGAGGTCCCAGCACTCTATAGCTCACCCTGCCTTACCCCGGCCTGTCCCTGAGACATCTCTAAGGAACTTCTGGGACTGCACTGAGTGGGCATGAGTACTACGACTGCGGCTGACGGGGCATGGTAGCAGGGCCGTAGCAGCCAGGAGTTGAGTGTGTTCTAGAAAGATTACCCAGGTTAAGAGGGCCCGGCATGCCGTGTCTCATGCCTGTGATCACAGCACTTTGAAAGGCCAAGGTGGGAGGATTACTTGAGGCCAGGAGTTTAAGACCAGCCTGGGCAATACTGTGAGACCCCATCTCTACAAAAAATCAATTAACCGGGTGTGGCGTGGTGGTACCTATAGTCTAAGCTACTTAGGAGCCTGGGGCTAGAGGATCGACCACTTGAGGCCAAATGTTCAAGACCAGCCTGGGCCACATAATGAGACCAGCTAAAGAAATTAGCCAGGCATGGTGGTGCATACTTGTAGGCCCAGCTACTTGGGTGGATCGCCTGAGGCCATGAGGTCGAGCCTGTGGTAAGCTATGATCGTGTGACCGAACTCCAGCCTGGGTGACACAGCAAGACCTCATCTCTAAAAATAAAATTAAATTTAAAAAGGATAAAGTGGCTGAGGTGATTTTTATATTAAAATAATAGCTAAAACCTAGGGAATGCCTACTGTCTATCATTATTCTAAGCACTTGAGTAACTTATTTAATCCTTGTCACAGCTTTACAAGGTGGGCTACATTGTTACTTCCATTTCAAAGATGAGGAAACTGAGGCACATTACTAAACAAGTGACATAAGTAAGAGGGATGTCTGGGGAAAGTCCTCTAAGGAGGCTGGAGAGCTGGAGGAGCCCCCCAGAGGAATCCAGAGAACTCGGAGGGCCCAGAAGGAAAGACTTGGTTAATCTGGAGAGCATAGTGTCAGTGAGACTGAGGACAGGGAGGTGGGAGGGGAGGCCAGGAGGAGGCTGGAGAAGGAAGTAGCGACCTCCAGGGCAGTGGGAAGGAGATCAGAGGTTATTCTCAGACAGAGAGTGCCTTTGAAGGAAGGGGAGCAATTGATTTGATTCCTGAGCAACGACCACTCCATGGGGAGGGATGAGAGGCCGGCCACAATGGAGGCAGGAAAACCCACAGGAGGCTTGCGGAGTCCAGGCAAGAAGTAGCATGCCCTTGGTGGAGAGCAGTGGTGACAGTCGTGGGCAGGAACAGGGGGGGCTCTGTGTTGCGATTATTCAGTAGTGGGGTGGGGAAGCGAGGGGGGCGGGTGGTGAGATGAAGTTGCTGAAGACCTAGGATTGGCAGGTGTGGGGGCCAGCTGGAGGACGCACTTATGTTTTGCTGATGGTTGGATGTTGCTGGATTTGGTTTGGATGCTGTCCTCACATCTCATGGTGAAGTGTGGCCCCCAGTGTGGGAAGTGGGGCCTGATGGGAGGTATCTGTGTCACGCGGGCAGGTCCTCACGGGTGGGTGGGTGCTGTCCTCATGTAATGAATGAGTTCTGGCTTTATTGGTTCACCCAGAGCCATTGTTTAGAACAGCCTGGTGTCCCTTCTCTCTCATTCCCATCTCGCCTGCTCCCCTTCCACCATGATTGTAGCTTCCTGAGGTCTCAGCAGAAGCAGATGCCAGTGCTGTGCAGATTGGAGAGCCTAATAAACCTCTTTTTTTTTGTATTTTTGTAGGGATGAGGTCTCACTATGCTGCCCAAACTCCTGGGCTCAAACAGTCCTCCTGCCTTGGCCTCCCCAGGTGCTGGGATCATAGGTGTGAGCCACCACACCCAGCTCCTCTTTTCTTCATTAATCACCCAGCCTCAGGTGTTTCTCTGTAGCAACACAAAACAGACTAATGCAATGATTTTGGAGCCATCAGGAAGAGTCAATGAGGAGGCATTTGGCAGTGAAGATAGAAACCAGGAGGTGGACTGTGTGTGGGGCTACGTGTGCCTCGGGGCGGTAGCCAGACTGACGCACTCCTTTCCCAGGCATGTGTGAGGTCACCTAACACTGAGTATGCCCTCAGGAAGTGCTCCTAGAACCGGAGGAAAGGGGCTCTCCATCTTGCAAGGATGACACTGGACTGTGCTTACTGGACGAGAAGGCCCAGGTGGCCCAAGGGAAGGCTGTGTCCTGGTGACCCCCTTCCCCAGGAACCCATGTTCCTGCCATCTTCCCTCTCCACAGCCAGGTGAGGAGGTGTGTTCCCCAGCACACCCGCTCCTGTCCCCGCCAGGGTGTCCTCCGAAGCTTCTCTCCAGAAGTGACCTCCTTTGACAGCTGGATTCCAAGGACTGTCCTGTGCTTCTCAGAGGCCACAGGGAGTGCCCTCGAGCAGCAGTGGCTGCAGGTGTCCCCTAGTGCCAGCCTCGTGCCCAGCGACCTCTGTCTTTCCAACCCTGCTGCGCTCCTGCACCGTGGTCCTCTGTTGCAGCCTGCAGATCCCACTCAGAAGAATGTTCTTAACGCATGAAATGAAAACACAGAATTGCAACATGGACCCGATATAGCCATATATCGATATATCAAAATATTTTTCCAATTTGTGGTATGGTAATATGTCAGCATGTTCAGAAGATCTAGCAGCAGTAACTACCGTAATTTCAAAGTCGAGATGAGCACAAAAGATACTTTGAGGTATCTGCAGCAGCTATCAAATGATATGAAAATATCTGATTTCTTTTGGTGACAGAGTCACAGGCTCAGTTCATACTTCTGTGGCCAGAATCGTAATTAAGGGAAATGCTCAGTCCCAGCTAGAGCTCGCAAAAATAAAGATGTGGTTAGTTCTCATCCGTTTTTGGGGATCCCCTGAATTCACACGTGGACCATGGCAGTCGGTGGGGCCCTGACTCGTAACTGTTCCTTTCTGTACCAAATGTCTCAGAATCTGAAGACGAAATGAAAGTGTTCCATTGTTTCAGGGCTCATTTGATTGGCTGGTTGACAACAGGGAGTTTATTCCCATCAGTATTTTATAGGCCAACAGCAAGTGCTCCATAGTTGATGGTGGGTGGATG